TAGAGATGAAGAGCATCCTAAAGACTGGCAAAAGTACGTTATTTAGAATGTTTTTTTTATACATTCACTGTCCATGCCACTTCTCTGCATGTATGTTTAATAACTCACAACCTGCCCAGTGGTTTCAATATGTATGAATTAAATCCAAACCCAACAAAAAGAACAATCAAAAGCTAATAATCAGATTTGTTGACTTTTTTAAGGCATCGTGTACTCTGATTTACCTCCTTTGTACAAAATGTAAACCTTCCCTTTCCCCAAACTTTGTGCTGTTTGGATATTATGAACATAATGTTACCTGAAACTCTAAAGACATGCCTCATGTCTGCCCCCCACAGGGGTCGGCGCGCTGCGGAAAGAGAGCAGCATCACCCAGAGCAGCTCAATCGGGGCCGTTCGCTGGAAGATACCTGAAGAGACCATCCAGGCTCACAGCTCGGTCCCCAGCCGACCCAGCAACCCCAGCATCGTCACCGGACAACACTCACAGGTAAACCAGCGGCTTCAAACCGACATTCTGCTCATGTAATCCAATAAGGAAAGAATTTGTAAGTGACCTGCTGTGCCTCCTGCAGGAACACCCTCGTCAGAACGGCCTGAAGGATCTCCGCAGCCTGCAGGAGTGTGTGCAGTTCATCAACGACTGGAAGAAGCAGGTGGACCAAGTCTGCAAGGTAGAACCGTAAAGAAAGAGGGAGAACAGATAGTTGTTAAAAATCACAAACTCTACAATGGAAGTGAACAAGACATGGAGTTTTGATGCTATGCCTGTTTCATTTTCAATCTTTTTATTTTACACTAAGCTTACTGCCAAATCATGATAAAAGTTCGCTAAAAAAAACAAAACAAAGCAGTCTATTGATTTAAAAAATAAGAGAATAAAGTGTCACAGGCTTGTATGTTAATCATTTATCCCTGTTGCTCATTCATACTTAAAAATAATGCCTGCAAATGTGTGAAGTTTCACTTTTGCAGCCACTTGTTTTTCTGCTTAGGTTGACCCAACATACATCTTATGTAGAGCAGAGTCCAGGGGAACAAGAGTGTACGTGCACACAGATTGAATAGGCAGTGCTATTAGAAATAATCTCTTGCTCATATAGAAACTGATGACCAGCTAGTCAGGGCAGAGGCTGCTGATAGGACATGCGCTAGATAATATTTTACAACCTGATGGCATGACCCCTTGTACGGTGGCCTTGTTACGAAAGATGTGTCATCCAGCTTTATAACCTTTATAAGTTATTAGTGGGTCTAATCAAAAATGTCTCGCTGCAATCACTTCGGTGTAATCGAAGGACACTGTCTAACAGAGTGCAATGTGTTTTAACAGGGCAGAGGGGATCCAGGGGAAGGCACCAGCAAGAAAGACACCAGGTCCCCAGACCGGAAAGTTGAACGTAGTCTTGAGGAGAGCAGGAAACTGATCCTGGAGTGGGCCGACGAACTCCACCATGTGGACAAGGTCAGTAGTTCTGACAGATGATCAGGGGCGGTTAAAGGGGCCCATCAATTACTGATCAAGGTTTCCCAACAGCTTCAGCTTTGGAAGAACATCTTAGTACAGTATAGCAAACTGCAAAGTCTAAATCTTCGCTTCTGGTTTGATGTCATTAGTTCCTTAAGGAGATCCCATGGGCATCGGAGAGCCAAGAAGACGAAAAAGAAGAAGATAAAGACACTAATGAGAATGCACAGATGAAGATCATGGAGTGGGCGAAGGAGCTGCAGATGGCCACTGAGGTGAGGAGGCACAAAGCTAAACTACTGGAAAGATATTAGTGTGACAGCTCAGTTACAAAGTCAAAGTGTGGGCATTTCCTCTGGCACAAAATTCCACACTGGGAGAGTTTAGCGAGCAATCTCGCAGCTGAAACAAACTTTTGTGTTTGCAGAGTTGTGGCGTACCAAGCGATGAGCTCGGCAAAGTGCTGCGTCTACTGGGCCTGAAGAAGAAACGTCTGGTAAAGCTGCTGCCGCTGCTGGAGTTCATCACCTGGTCTCTGCTCAAGGAAGACAGCACGGTAAGAAACGTTTCTGAGCTTCTCAGAAGGACCTAAATGACATGTATAAACCGTGCACGTTAACGAGAAACATCATAACTGTTTCATTGACACACTTTCGGTTGTTGTTTTTGAACAAAACACGTACATTGACACAGGTCATGAAAAGATATGGCATGTAGACTCTGCTCCCACAGTGCATGCAGCAATAAATTAATTCTGAGATTCAGTTTATATGAGCCTGTGTCCACTCTAACTTCATTCGTTGATTATGGTCAGCAATAGATATTTTATGGGCCTGAATTGATGCTTGAAAGCTTCATGTGACCTTTTGCAGCTTGTATAACAGCAATAAACTCCTCCTGGCGTGCTAACAGCGTGATTGACAAAGTTCATCACTAGTTTAGTTTCCTTCATAGCTACTGTTGAACCCTGTGATCATAAGGAAATAGAACGTGATTGAATCAATAAGGAAAATGCGATGCCACAAAATAATGTTTCAACTTTTTCCTTCTCAGAAAATGATTACACAAGTGTGGCTACTGGCAAAGCAAAGGACCTGGAAAGCGGGAATTCCCCGATACATCCCCAACTCAGGTGGGCATTTTGAAGATGTTTCCGCAAATAATTGTTTGAAAAGTTGAGAAGTGAACGAACTACTTTTTCATTTGTGAACCCAAGATACAGCTCTTTGGAAACAGCACAACCATGGGTAGAAGAAGAGAACTCAAAAATGAGTTTTGTGTAGAATAACAAAATTCTAACCCGAAATCATTTTTAAAGAAACACAAGAAATTTCTTTAATTTCATTTCACAAAAATTGAAAAAAAAAAGAATGATGCAGTGGACAAAATGTTTCCAGGCGCCCACAGGTGTTACCAATACTGGAAACAAAATGGCCGCTCTACCTGCTTTGAATATTTTACTACTTACATACTGAATTTGTTTCAGCCCAGTTCAATCGTTCATTTTCGTCACATGAATGTCAATTACAGCTAATTGCTTTGTTTACCCACTGCAACCATAATAAACTCTCTGCTTCTCTACTTTCAGTCTGGAGTTGGATTTGCACTGCAGCAGGTAACACCTTATCTTTGTCTCATCTCACATACCAACAGAAAACAACATCCCAGCAGTGAGCTAATTTATTTCTTCTTCTTGACAGCTGATGTGCGTCTCGACCCCATGACCAACTACCCGTGGCTGCAGCTTTCCGACGATCAGCGCAAAGTCCAGGAGGGCCACGTGGTGAGCAAGCCCACTCCCAACTCCCAGCGCTTCGACCACTGGCCGGGCGTGCTCGGCTGGGAGGGCTACGGCTACGGACGCCACTACTGGGAGGTAGACATAGCCAACAATGGATACTGGCGCTTGGGCCTGACCACTGCCACCTCCAAGCGGCACGGGAACTTCCCCATGACGCCAAAGGAGGGCTTCTGGACCCTGTGGCGCAGCCCAAACCACTTCTACGCCTGCACCAAGCCGGAGACCCAGCTGCCGGTCAGCCTGGTGCCCCGGCGGATGGGGATCTACTTAGACTATGAAGAAGGTCAGATCTCCTTCTACAACGCCCAAACCAAGACACACATCTACACCTTCACCGGAAACTTCAAAGGAAAGGTCTACCCTCTGTTTGCCCCGATGGACGGTCGCACACTCATGACGATCATGCAGCCGCACCAAATCTCAGCGCACTGAGGGAGAGGAGCCTTTAAAACTCATGTCAGAGATGCTTTGAAGAAAATGAAGTTAAAATTGTTTTGTCCAAAAGTCTACAGGAGAATTTCATTCCTCTACATGTTACTAAAACATTACTCTCATCTTCTTCCTGGAAAAACTTCATTTATTATACTTCAAGCTTTGATTAAAAAGTATTAAAAAGAAAGTGTTTGTGGATAAAACCAATCATGGCACTCTAAATGTAGTTAAATGCACTTCTGTAGAAAGAACCTAAGATGTCAAACAAAAAAAAATCACAAACTGTAAAACTCTAAAGCTGAAAATATTTATTTAAGAAGATTGAAATGTGAAGAGGCTCAGTTTGTCCTGGATGTGCTGACAAATGTCCCTTTTTTCCTTCATGTGTATCCAATACATCCAACACATGGAACACATTCTGCGTCTTCACAAATGCATGCACTTAACAATGCACTTTCAGATCTGTACATAATAAAAAATGTCATATAAATAACTTGCTGTCTTTTTTTTTAATGTAATTTGTTACATTTCTCCACAAACATTTCACAGTCTGCAGGAAAAATCTCATAATGTCTGCGTGCACACACATGTATTGCAACTTAAGTTGAAACTCTGGATGATCTCTCAGTCTTTTGTGAGCCCATAAAACACGTGAGGCTGCCTCTCAGGACTCTCTCTTACAAGCCCAGGGTCCGTGCTCTTCACAGTCAGCGGCGAATAGAGTCCCGCCTCCCCTCAGGTCTGCACAGTCCCTGTGATCGGCATCCCACTCCACCTTCATCCTTCAAAGCAAACATGGAGGTGATGTTCTTAAACTGAAGAACTGTTAGAAATGAAAAAGCCTTTTGGTTGAGAGGTGAAGCATCTTTGGGAATATGGTGAATGATGTTTATGTATATTTAGCAAAAACTACACCATAAAAAGCACCAGATAATTCTATATGTATACATGTAAGTTGTATGTTTGTGTATATCAGTGTGTTTATGTATGTATATGTTATAATGTTATGCTGCAATAAAAGCAAATTGAACCAAACTATTCTGAGGTTTCATTCTTTTCTTATGGCCATGTTTTTAACCTATAATACAGATCTATAAAAATACAGTGTAGACCAATGAAATAACACATTAACCTGCTATTACATGTTATTACATGTTATTACAGTGGATGAAAATTGATCTAGCATTTATGTGCCTAATTTGTGATGCATTAAATCTCGTAGAGCTGAAGTTACTAATATTTAGAAGAGGTTCGATATTCAGTGTTATTTGGTGTTGGCATTGTTTTGTTCTTTTATGTGTCTTGAATGCTGCACTACAGTTTCTCTTATCCCTCTTTCTCTGTATGTTTCTCACTCTTTTATGAATATAGAGAAGAAGAAAGAAACTAGGTAGGTGACATATTTGTTGCTAGACTATAAGCTGTCATTGGCTAAACTAATGCGTGACAGTGATGCCTGAAAATCTGACTGGAAATGAATAAAGCCTGGAGAAAAGCCTCCAGTAACTCGTATATGATGATCTGTTGATTCCCTGAGCAGGACTTACAGCATGTAGTGCTGGATGTCCGTCCCGTCCCTCCACATCCACCGACCCTCCTGCTGAGTGTCTGTCAGCCCCACCCACAGGAAGGGAAACCTGGGGAACTTCCTCATTACGTCCTGGATAAAATCCTGTGGAGGAAGCAACATTTAATTAAAGAACATCCTGTTCATCTGTTTACTGATAACTATGCAAATGATTGTATGAGTTTCTTCAGTTCCATACAGCTGTTATGTTCCTCCTAAGTGGCTCTCTCTGAAGTCTCATCTTTTTTTTTTACACAAGTTTCTTTATAGGAAGTTTTTTTTTTTTTTTGTATTATCATTATGTATCTGCAATGACTATAGCGCTCTTAGAAGGAAATTTGTGTTGGTGTAATTTAATTTCGACGTTTAAGAGGAAGGTGGGAAACATTTTATTGAAAGGACACAGTTAGTTTATGGAGAACTGATACTTTCAAAGCAAAGTTTTTAAAATTCTTTTTGTGGTGTCTTGAACTTTGGATGGACTTTTGTTATGCCTAGCTCAATAAAAACCACAATGTAGGGATCTTACTTGTATTTAACCTCTTAAGACCTGGACATCACATTTTGGGTTTTATTATTGCAGTAGTTATTTTTTTAAATCTTATTTTATTATTATTATTATTATTATTATTATTATTATTATTATTATTATTATTATTATTATTATTAATAATAATTTTGTATTTCTATTTTTTAAATATTTGTATAGATTTTTTTATTTGAAAAATATTTGCATATCTATACATTTATATTTAATATATTTTTATTTTCTTTATTTTCTTTATTCTCTTTGCTTATTGATCAGATCAAATAGCAAAGAGAAATTTTAAAAAAAATGCATATCAAACAAGAGCTCGATCTTAAGAGGTTAAGATGCAATGATTGTCAGATTGAGGCAATAGTTAGTAAAAAATCTGTGCTTATGAGTTTGATGTTGAGTTTAGTCAAGTCTGTGTAGATTTGCATCCATTCAGCTAATGGTAATCCTAGGAGCTTGAGCAGGAGGAGGAGTTAAAGAGGTCATCTCTGTTAAACTGGGAAAGCCGTCTCTGAACAGACACCACATACCAGACACAAAATAAAACAGTCTTGAGATCCCAGACAGTTTCAAAACCATCAACACCTTGAAAGCACGACTGTCTCTATTGATGGGACATCGCCATGTGATTTTGGGGTGACAAAATATATCCTGAACTTTCCACCAGTCAGTTAGAGCGAAGGAAAGCTCCTGCCTGAGAGGCAAAACATCCTCAAGAACGAAAAATGGAAATCCAGTTCTACTGAATCTCATAGGACTTCTCACCTTCTTCTAAAAAGTCTTTACATTACGAGTACATCCACTCAATCCTGTCTTTGACTTTAAATTAGTCGTGTTCGCTAAAGCTCAGTGTCACCATTTGTGAAGCAACACATCCTTCTACAGAGAACAATTACCATCTCTGCAGAGTCCTTGATGACAGCCAGGCTGCTGTTGTGTCCCTGACAGAACTCAGCGCTCTCGTTCCACTGACGATCCTCCTGCAGTCCAAACGAGAAGAAGTAGCAGTGACCCCTCCACCACATCCAGCCATCAGGACACACTCCACACCTGGAATCTCCACAAGGGAGGAAAGGAACACTGGTGTAAAAAATCAGATTTATATCTTGTAAACACTGGAGCAGCGATTTCAGAATCATGAGTCTTTGAGATCCTTGGAGATGTCGTAGGATGGCAGATGTTTGTGTCAGAGAATAAACTGTACCTCGAGTGACAGCGTGAAGCATCAGGCTCAGATCACTGAGCTTTTTCCGGCACTGCAGGAGTTGCTCCGGCAGCTCTTTGTCTGATGTGTTCAGGGGCCGATCCACTTCTGGTGCAGCTGACAATAAGCAACACCCAAAAGTCTATTTCAGTGTACAGATTTTATTTACATTTTCTTTATCATTTAAAAGCCAAACATTACTTAGGTTTTTTTTTTTTTCTTTTTTGTCATTTAGAGAAATCATATCAGATCTTCTTTTTATGACAAGTTCTATTTCTTTTTCTTTATCTTCTTTTTTTCACATTTGGGAGATTTTGAGGAGATTCATGTGAACTGTCAGAGTTTAAATTCAAAACATGTGTTAACTACAGCTTTATAGACACAAACAGGAACAAGCTGCAAATTGTAAACACACAGTTTATCATTATAATTTACAGGCAAGCTGGTGATAAAGTTTATATTCATACTCACCAAATAAAATGAGGCATAAAGAGAGTCCTGTGACCAGGGTTACTGCAGAAACAGCCACTCCTACTGTCACACGACAAGTTTGACAGGATCCTGGATAAGAAACAGATCTACTTGGGATGTGTGTTGCTTTATAAACTTCAAGCTAAATGAATAGAAATTGTAACCAAGTAGGGCCTCAGTTGTTTTAAAAAGTCCTCTGTTTCCTTTTCTAGAAACATGTTAGACAATAAGGTTATCGTTTGAGCTACGGGGGCCAAAACTCTAAAGTAACTTGCTTTTAATTGTGCGATACGGTTAAGTTGTGCGATGTTGAGTCATGCAGTACGTTGTGTTTCTACTAGAATATAATACTTGCGTGTACGCAGGCTATATATGAACACGACTACATGGTTGACAGTCACATATGCACTCTGTAAATAAAACACATGTGACACTCGCCCAACTTGACAAAAAATTAGGTGTCATGCCGTATTGTATCATAGTATGTATTCGACAAAAACAGTTTCATTTTCTGTCACAGATGACATTTAGTTTTTAAAAGCATTCAAATTTCCTGGATGTTGGTAAAAGTAATA